CAAGGAAGGTAAGGCACCCGCCGGGCCCCACACACGCCAGCAACCCTCCCCGCACCCGCCGGCCTCCCACCCCTGGCCCTCTTTTACTTAGATTTTTAGTAGTTGCTCAGCAGGGAGGGGTGGAAACTTCCAGACAGCTCGCCTTCGCTGCAGACAACTTGCAGCACCGTTTGCAGAATGGGACTTTTGGAGGGCTCAGCAGGGCAGAGACAGCCTGGACAATTCCTATTGGCTTTTGAAAGCCAATAGAATTAGACTCTATTCAAGAGAGTCTATTCTCTTGGCTTTCAAAAGCCAATAGAATAAAAGGGAGTAGCACAGCTAAGGAAAAGGGGGGGGGAAATGGCGGACTGCTTTGTTTGGCGACCCCCGTGAAATGGTCGTTCAACCCCAAATGGGGTCCCGACCCACAGGTTGAGAACCGCTGGTCTAGAACATAAAATAACCCAAAGGAGAGAGGTTTGTGTAGAATAACCAGAATATCTGTCACAAGACATTGTTCAGGCCATATGCACTAATGTCTGGAAGGCAATTAAAAAGAACTCCTCAAGTGATGATTAATTGAATATATATTTTTCATAACAAAGTTATGAAAGTTCATGAAGGTAGCTGGGTGGAAAATCCTGCTTCGTTCAGTCTAGAAACAAGAGAGAAAAATTGCTTCGGAGGGGGATGGCCTGCTTTCTAGTTGATTAATGTGCTCTAATAAGACTTCTGTCGTCTTCCTAGCGAAATTCTGATGTGATTCATAGATGCTGGACACTTATCTGACAGAAGCATTTCTTCAAGTGCTTTGGGGAAAATAGCCTGCTTGTGGTTTGAATGTCAGTGCTTTGACTCCAAGCAAAGATTACATGGAGTTCAAAGCAAAATCGTGTGATTTTAGAAATTGTTACAACTATATAGAAATATACTGTATGTACCAAATCTGAGTTGTTTCCTGACTAGGGTTGTTGATGCATAAAAGCCATGTTTAACTATATCATTTCATAATCTCTGTCAATGCCTTTCCCCTCCATTGCTTTCTCTTTAGCATGAAGCTAAAAGAGAACAGATGAGCAATTTAAAGAACTCGTTATAGATCAAATCAAGCCCACCGTGTTCCTGTAACCTATTATTTGGGAAATCCTATATATTTTGTTTTATTCTATTTAGTATGATGTTTGGGTACCAATTTAGGATTCTGACTGATCTCATCGATGACAGTCAAGAGGAAATATTTTGATTACTTTGAAGTATTTAAAGTAGATGGACCTTATTTCCCTGTTCAGATATTCAAAAAGAGGAAATATCAGTATTTCAAATTCCATCCTGATATTACTCATCTCCACTAAACAATATACCTATTGTGGAGACATGTGTGGGGAGACATCTGAAGAGAACTTTCCCACATGCAACTACAAGGCTTAAATAAAAAGCAATGCCTCCACCTCCATAACTTTAAACAAATAACCCTTGAAATAAGCTCTTTTAATAACAGTATTTACTTTTCCACATAATCACTGCCATTCACTATATACTTCTGCCAATGACAAACAAGCTTTTTAAAACTGTCATGAAACAACTCCATATTTTGTCTCTTTGACCAAATCTTGGCATTTTTCCCATCTCTTAATTTTTGTCAAATAGAGGGATTCAACTTTGCAATTGCCTTTTTGGGTGGCTAGTGAGGTGTGAGGCGTAGGTTGTCATGTGGCAGCAAAATTTCCTTCTTGTGCTTTTAAATCTACTTAAAAGCTTCACAGTTGGTGCTAGGTTCAAGGAAATTCATGTAAATCTGTTCCCCCCCCCAGGATATGGTAATCTGTGTTCCCCCTCCCCAAATCATAGATTTTCCTGCCAAAACCTAGAGGTTTTGTTTGTTTTGGGATCATAATGATGTTCCTAAGCTCTATCAGTTCTTACAATGTTGCTTGGTGGACTGAATTAATTCAAATGTTTTACTTTTTTAACTGCTTGATCATACCATCTCTCCATTTCATAGCAGCTGTATTCATCATAATAGTATTTCACAGAGATTTTGTTGACAACTTTAAGAGATGCAGAAATGTCAGTCTGTTTTTCTGGAAGAAAAAAACAGAACACTAGAAAAATTATGCAGCATAATATTTCATAATTCAAAATGGGCCAAACTTTAATAATACAAACTCAGAAACATCCTGAGTTCTCCAGAACTCATCAAGGTTAGGTGAATCCAAAATAAGAGATGGGAAAATAAAAAAAGAGAAGAGAAAAAGAAAAAAAAATCAGTTGTGATCATGAGAATTATTTTAGAGATACTAGCCAGGATTCTTCTGGTTACAATTTTGGTAGGGTCTTATTTTTCCCTCTTAAAAATACTTTTGAAATGTTATAAAAATGAACCTGGATCAACTGAGAATTTGAATTTCTGAAGTGTTTATTATGCATCCAGTGAATGTAATATAGAATGCGCAAATATACATATGCTGTTTAAGAAACATGTGATAAGCATGATCTCCAAGCTTGTTAAGCTGAAGTGTTTGGATTCAATCCAAGACACTGTGTCATCTTAATGAAAAACCCTTTAAGATAAAATGACACATTTCCCAAGAGTGTGTTGGGACTGCTATCCAAGTATACATACAAATATCACATACATATATATAACTGGATTATAAATCTACTTCAAAATATCAATTATTTTTCCCTACCTGGTACCAAGTGATCCATTTTGTGTATTTACTTGGTTATTGTGCAATACAATTAATGCTCCATCTGCTGATATAAAGTATTCTGAATAGAATACAGCTGGAAAAGACCTTGGAGGTCTTCTAGTCCATCCCCCTGCTCAATCAGGAGAATCTATACCATCTCAGACAAGCGACGTGTCTAGTCTTTTTTTAAAATTCTTCAGTGATGAAGCGCCCACGATTTCTGGGAGTAAGCTATTCCACTGGTTAATTGTCCTCACTGTCAGGAACTTCTCCTTAATTCCAGGTTGCTTCTGTCTTTGATCAGTTTCCAACCATTGTTTCTTGTCCTGCCCTCTGGTGCTTTGGTGAATAACATGACCCCCTCTTCTTTGTGGCAATCCCTCAGGTACTGGAATACTGCTATCATGTCTCCCCTATTTCTTTTCTTTAGATTAGCCAGACCCAAGTCCTACAGCCATTCTTCAAATGTTTTAGTCTTCAGGCCTTTGATCATCTTAATTGCTCTTCTCTGAATTTTTTCCAAACTCTCAACATCTTTTTCATGATATAGTGACCAAAATTGGCTGCAGTATTCCAAGTGTGGTCTTACTAGGGTTTTATAAAACGGTATTAGTACTTTGCATGATCTTGATTCTATGTCTCTGTTTACACAACCCAGGATTGTATTAGCTTTTTTGGCTGCTGCTGCACACTGCTGGTTCATGGTCAAGTGATCGTCCACTAGAATTCCAAGGTCCCTCTCAGTTACTGTTTTTAAGCCAAGTCTCACCCAGTCTGTACTTGTACCTTTGATTTTTCTTGCCTAAATGTAAAACTTTGCTTTTCTCCACATTGAAACCCATTTTGTTGGGCAAGGCCCATTGTTCAAGTTTGTCAAGATCTTTTTGGATCCTGAGTCTTCTGGGGTGTTGGCTACTCCTGCCAGTTTAGTGTCATCTGCAAATTTGATGAGTTCCCCTTCAATTCCCTCATCTAAGTCATTGATGAAGATATTGAAGAATACTGGGTCTAAGCCGGAACCTTGTGGTAGCCCACTGCTTACTTCTCTCCATGTGGATGTAGTGCCATTGAGGACTAAGGTTATTTTATATGGATTTGATCTGATCCTTGACCAAAATTAAGCAATATTGCAATTGATCACTGCAACAGTATTACATTACCAAGTTTATATAGCAATTACTATTAACACAATAAGCTTATTTAAAAAAAAGACCTACATATCATATATTTTGAATGCTATGGTTCACTGCCTACATATCAGATAGCCTACTGTAGTACTTTTTATAGAACTGGAGCACCCTTGAAACATAATATACCTTTTATACTATTGATCATCACAACTTGCCATACTTGCCAACATTTCACAATCACCAACAAGGGCATGTTTATTGCACTATGCAGTTCACAGCTCTTTGGACAATTCCTCCCCACCCTATTGCAATATCATTCTATCTCTCAAGCTATAAAGGGATAGAAATGAGACATGAGTAACTAGGTCTAAAGTTATGTTTGACACTGTGGGAGCAATCTTCCCTAATATCAAATCAAAGCATATTCAATAATGAGAGTTAACTAGCTCTGAAGGGAATTGGTGCTCTAAAGAAGTCTTATTTGAAACCAAAATTGGGAAATAGATCCAAATAATGAGTAAAAGCAAAGTGTTGAAACAGAATTTGTCATTGACCAGTTGATTCAAAATCTTTTCTTAAATTTTCAGCATGTACCACAATTTGCTTTGTTGAGTAGATCAGTGGTTGGGCTGCCTTCCAGAAGTTTGGATTACAATAGCAATTATTCCTGATCATTGAACTTTTAGTAAACATTTATACTAGGCTCTAAAACAGTGGTTCTCAACCTTTCTAATGCCGCGACCCCATAATACAGTTCCCCATGTTGTGGTAACCCCCAACCTCTTATACATCACCGGGTGCCAGGGGCGTGGCCAAAGAAAAGGGGGGGAAAATGGCAGACAGCCTTGTTTGGCGACCCCCGTGAAATGGTCGTTCGACCCCAAATGGGGTCCCGACCCACAGGTTGAGAACCACTGCTCTAAAAAGAATACTTAGATCTTGTGGATACAGCAGGAAATAATAAACTAGTGGAATATAACTTTAAGAATTAGGTTACATTATTAAAGATATAAAAGACAACTGAATATCACTTGCTCAGGTTTTGCAATAATACTAAATAGCAAGACCATTCATTTGAAATGGAAAAGGCTGCTTTTTTGTATAAAATATATAGTTGCTAATATGTTTTAAAAAGCACTGCCTGATACATAATTTATAATTCCATAACCACAATAACTTTATTTGCTGTAGTAACAATAAATGTTCAAATTAGATTATACAACAAAAGAAAAACTAACATAATGGTAAAGGATCACCAACATTCAGAATTTTAGCTTTCGAAGAATACTATAGTGTATTATTTTTATTTCTATAATTCCATTGAAAAATGCTCAATCAAGAAAAAGTAGATTTGCCTCAAAATAAGAAGCTTCAGAGTTTTTATACAGCGAAAGGATTGTTCAATACACATGAAACATGTACGTACATGTTTCAAAAATAATTTGGAAGAAGTGTACCAGTTAAGTCTGATGGACTGCTTTAAGAACAGAGAGGAACAATATTCATGCAAGTTCCGAAAGACTTGTCCAATAAATATATAAATCACAATGCAAAATTACTATGGTTTTTTTTCCCCCTTTTCCAACACAGCAGATTCTACATGGATGAGAAGAATGCTTTTTTAAAGACTCAAGCTACAAATAGAAACTTTTGTAGTCAGATACCGAAACCTATAAAATAACATCCTGCCACAAAATTATACATTTTTCTATGTATAAACAGGCATTTTGGATCATTATAGATCTGTGACACTTAAAAGTAAAATAAGCTTTCTAATATACTGCTAAGAATGCCATTTTTCAGAGTTTATACTTTTATTTTGCTTCAAACGTAGAATCTGATTTAGCAAATGCACACAGAAATTTTTGTTCAATATCTCAGAATCATACCATCTAGGCTGCCTGACAACATGTCCTGTTGACAATAATTATCAAATCATTACAACAGTATTACAACAACCAATTTGTTTAGCAGTTGCTATTAACTGGTTAACCTTAAAATATTTAACAGCCTATAAAAACTAGTAATTGCATTATCTGCTATGTATTTTCAGTGCAGTTTAGAACAAAATAAAACTGCAAGAGAATGCTATTCTGTTAAATGACATGCATTAAAGTTTCATTAAGAAGCTATTTTAAATAGCTTCTTTTATAGATTGTTGAAACTCTCTGAAGCTTAGTTCTGGGATTGAGTAACACTATACCGAATTTTCCATGGGTCAGTGATATTCACAAATCATGTGAATTAAACATTCTTATAGAATTGGAGTACCCTTGAAACACAGCCACTTAGTATGGATTTAATTTTGAGAGAGTTTCTGTTTCAAAGATTCGGGCATTTCAGGTGGTGGGGGACGAGGCAACTTGAGATAAACTTTAACTGAATCATAGATGAACCACTGCAGACCAGTAAGAGTACCAATCATCAGAATACGAGTGAAGAGGCCTTTCCAGATCCCATACATGCCCAACCTCTTGAGGACACCCAAAACAGTGGTGCCCCTTTCTTGGTTCAATACTGATACCACAGAATCAGCTGGGTGTGAGACTATAGCACAGAAGATGCCAGCGATATATCCCCCAATAAATGTGACTCCAAGTTGTTCCGTCTTGCTGCACTGATCTCGTGGCTTAGGAATGACGTATTTATAGAGTGCTTCTACAGTTCGTTCAAAGCAGGAAAACTTCATCATGGTATAAGGGATCTGTCGCAGCCAGAGAGGATACACTCCCTTATAGAAAGCCCAGAGTCCTTCTTCAATATACATCTTGGGAGCTGCTTCTCGCAGCGTCTTGGCATACCCGCGCTGGGTCTGAATCCGTACCTTGACTGCTTCCATCGGGGCCAAAGCAATGTCAGCAAAGAACTCAGCACTGGCTGAAGCAGCGAGGTAGAGGCTAGTCCGCCACAGATAAGCTTGCTCTGGACCCAAAAAGTTAGAGTACAGAATCTTGAAGTACTCATAGAGACCAAACTTGCCAAAGCCCTGCATGGAATAGCCTATGGCTGTTGGAGCCCATCCCTTAGCCAGGCCAGGTATCCCCTCTTCTCGCACTGTAAGAGAAAGGCCTTGCACCAGCCCTTGGTAACGCCTGGGTTCCACTTGCATGCGGCACTTCACCACATCGAGTGGCACTACCGCTGTGTGTGTTGCACCGCAGCTCACCACCCCACCTAAGGAGCACAATAGCAGATAGGCAAAGGAGCCATACTCACAGGAGTACTCCTCCTCCACCATCACCTGTCCCAGGGGACTGTCCTTTTTGGCTACTGAAGCTGCTGACAGACTGAGCCGATTCCTGGGTGGAAGAGCTGGGCTGCCATCTTTGGAAGGCTCTGGCTTCATGTGTCCGCAGCTACTTGACAGCCCACAGTGAAAGAAGGGCCAGTCACTGCTGCTTCCCTCTAGAATCCAGGTTGTGGGGCATAGCCCTGTCAGCAGCTGAGACCAGGGCTTGGGGTAGGGGGGCCTGCTGCCCTTAAGGGCCTCCCCTTCCATTTTGTCTTGACTGTTAAGGAATCTGCTCTCAGGGCCACTTTTCTTAAGACTCCTGGAAAAAGCCTCCTCTGCCCTCCAGAACCAGGATATGTGCTGAGAGAAGGGAACCATGATATCTCTGGCTCCTTCCTTCCAAGACTTGTACTTCCCCTGGTCTGTGGATGGGACAGGCATCTTCCGTTCGCAAGCAAAGGCCTTGCTAATGGCTGAAGCTGTTGCCTCTTTCCAACTGCCAGGGAGTTCAGGGTTCTTCTTCTGGCTATAGAGATGTAGCCTAGAAGGGGTGGAAGGAATAGGACTGTAAGTGGACACTCTAGTCAATCTCTCTGTGGTTTAGATTAGTTGGCTGGAAACGGAGGAGCCTCTGTGAGCAAAAGATTAAAGAATACAAAAGGTTCAAAGTGTGTGTGTGGGGGGGGGTATTAAATGCACAAATATATGGGCAGGAGTTGCATGGCCTCAGAGATAAAACTCAAAAGTGTCAAGTTCTAAATCAGTAGAGATTCAATGAGAATCCAAAATCTTTAGCCTCCCCCCCCCAAGTTTTAAGCTAAGCCTTCTAGTTTTGAATATCAGAGGAAATGGTTTCATATTTACATGACAATTCTGTCTGGACACAATCTTTGGGACAGTTGTTATTTATTCCTATTACTTTCAGTTGTAGGAGCAGCACATATTTGTAGATACTATGTTTGCCATTTGCTTTTTGGTCAAGGAGCCTGACTATGATGGCATGTGTATTTGTGATCCATATTTAAATCATCACCAATAATATGTTATTACCATCACAAGTGTAGAACATGAAAAATAAATTTCCATGTTCCTCAATATTCCTCAATTTATAAGGAATATTTCATGCAATGTTAAATATCTGATTACCTTAATATGCCACAGATGGGCTAATTATTACACAGCAATGCAGTGTCAAGTAGTATGTGTCAATCAGTTTATATAAACACCATCCTGGTAGCCTTAGAAGTAGGTGGAGGGATACAAACAAAATGAATAAAGCTACTTCTGCTTAATCTTTTTACTTTTTTTCTAGTCAGAAAAAAAAATAGAAATATGAAGATAAAATACAGGAGATTATAAAATAGAAAACAATATAGTCTGTCTTATAATAATAATTTGCTCAGTAAAGCAGAATGATTAATGAAGCTAATCACACACTAAGAAAACTAATAGAGTCGCATCCTGTCAGACTTCACAGGAGACACAAGCAATAAATCTCAGTTCTCTAAGAACTCAGTCTCCCTTTCAGGGAGCATGGTAACTAGGTAACAGCAGATACTTCGCAGACCCAACAGAGCTAGATGGTGGAGCCAAGAAAAAAGTAATAGAGGTACAAAAGATCCGAGTGGTGCAGAACATAAGAATCAAATCTTTTATATATGTCAGCCTCAGGGTGTAAAGCCCAAGTCTTTTTCTCCCACCCTTCGAGCTAACAGCCTTTTCTAGTTTTTGAGTGTCAGAGGCACCCATGACAGTTCTGTCTGGACAGAACTTCTGGGACAGATGTTTATTTATTCCTGCTATCTCAGTTTTAGGAGCAGCACATATTTGCAGTTAGTATTGCTTTTTTGTCAGAGGACCTGATTTTCTATCTACAGTATATATGACAGGAATGATTGCAACCTCAACAAATTTATGTGATAGGATTAATCAAAAGTCATCTGAAAGCACTCTAAATAACTGTAACTTTTTATAGTGACAGAAACAAAACTGCTGGAAAAAGAACGGAAAGCATCAAAGTAGAGAATATAATAGAAATAGGGAGAAAGTAAAGTTCAAAATAGTTCTACGTGGAAAGAAAGACTTAGAATACTGTCACCATTTTGTTTTCTTAAATAGCTGTGTGCAAAACTGCACGGCCATTTCCCAGAACACGATGTATGAAACATTCCATTTTTCCAATGAAATAAATCATCTGAGCATTTGGAAGATGGTTCAACTATTTCAAATGGGAAGCTTATGGAACTGGGTTTAATGTTGTCAATGGCAAAGTCTGGCCCTGAAACAGAATAGAATATAGAATAACAGAGTTGGAAGGGACCTTGTAGGTCATTTAGTCCAACCCCCTGCTCAAGGAGGAAACCGTATACCATTTCTGACAAGTGACTGTCCAGTCTCTTCTTGAAAGTCTCCAGTGTTGAAGCACCCACAACTTCTGAAGGCAAGCTGTTCTCAACTGTCAAAAAAAAATAAATTCTTATTTCTGAATCTCTCCTTGATCAGTTTCCATCCATTGTTCCTTGTCTGGCATTCAGATGCTTTGGAAAATAGGTTGTCCTTCTCCTCTCTGTGAAAGCCTTTCAAATATTGGAACACTGCTAACCTGTAACCCCTGGTCCTTTTCTTCACTAGACTAGCCATGCCCAGTTTTTGCAACCGTTCTTCATATGTTTTAGCCTCCAGGCCCCTAATCATCTTTGTTGTTCTTCTCTGCACTCTTTCTAGAATCTCAACATCTTTTTATAGTGTGGTGACTAAAACTGGATACTGTATTCCAGGTGTGACCTTACTAAGGCAGTACTCCTCACGTGATCTTGATTCAATCCCTCTATTAATGCAAATTAGGATTGCATTGGCTTTTTTGGCTGCCGCCGTACACTGCTAGCTCATATTTAATTGATTGTCCATATTGCAAATATGCAAATATTTAATTGATTGAATATTGCAAAATGCTTCCTGATTTAGATCATTCCATTCTGGAAACAGATGAATCATTTTGGAATGCTTGGCCGGTCTAGAAGTGGACCAAGCTGCTTTCCATATCAACTTGCCAACTTTATTTGAATTCTAGAAAACTAAAGAAAGACAGCGCTGAGTAGTAATTAGATACGGGAGCATTTAGAAAGTCCAGGGTTACAGGATAGACAGAACAATAGCAACAATCATATAAGATAGCAGTAGCAAACATGACTATACTTTTTCTACAAAAACTGCATGAAGATATTCATTAAAAAATCACCAGGACTTGAGTTCATAGATTATACTCTATGTAAAAGAAAGATTGGTCTTTTTGTTTTCTAGGCATGACACCAGTGTTTTAATATAGAGGATGAAACAATTCAGTACAGAAATTAATGGCAAAACTTGAAATTCCTGGACTTAGAGAATCTCATATAATTACATACAATACGGTATAAATAAATACAATTACATCTTCAGTTCTCTATATGCTGTTGCAGTTTATATGTAAGAAAATATAGAATAGTTTCTCTAAAGTCAGATTAAATCTGTTGCCATCAATATATGATAGATTTCAAAAGATTCCTATCTCTCAAAGACGTTTCCCCTGTAATCTTGAAATTGTGACTCACATTCTACTCCATTGTGAATATTATAAGAATTTTCAGCTGGATATAATATAGCCTATTTAAACTCTGAGAATGAGGTACTTCGTAAAGTTAAAGTCTGACATTTAAATTTTATTTTCAATAAAAATCCTAGAATTACAATGGTAATAGCCAAATTTTAACTCCCTTTTTTTAACAATCCTGAATATTTTGATTATGTCTGTGTTTGGGTCTTTTGTATATAATAAATATTCCATTCCATTCCATGTATTTAAAAGTAATTGGGTAATTCCATTTTATGAGCGGTTTAATTCTCTAGCATGTGGGTAGGTCTGAGCTTGCCCATGGGCTGGAAGACATATTATTTATTTAAATATACAAAAATACTATACCCTTGTTCTTATCCCTTTTAGAAAGGAGTCACTTAAAACAGTTCACAAAACATAAAAACAGATATAAAAACAATGCCTAATTATCAAAACACTGTTATTAGACTACAGGGTTGACTGCAAAACATTTGAAGAAAGTAATTTCTAAGGCATACATATGGATGCATGTGGATACACAGCTAGGGATGGCTTTTGAAAGGCTGCTTGAGTGCACAGAAGACATGACTGCTTATGTTCTTCAAAAAGACATATTTCATTTGAATTCTGGATAGAGTAGGATATAGTATGTTTTAAAAGCAGAAAGAAAAAACTACAGGCGATAGCTGACATTGAAGCAAAAACCATATCCAAAATTCCTACCTATTATTACTATTAGATAAAAACCCTTGTGAAGTTTGAATTAAAGAGAAAATATTAAGAAAGACTAAAGTACAAATTCAGAAAACATTTTCTTTTGCACAAGAAGTTTTGCTTGTTTAAAATATTGCATTTTCCTTATCTGTCATGTAAGCAGCCTGTAGCCATTAAATATTTACACTTTAATACATTACTCTCAAATGCAAAACAGAAGCAGGAAGATACACAACTCTCAGTGATAACTGGAAATATTTAAATTATTTGGAAACCAGTAAGTAAATATTGATTTAAATACAGAAAAGCAAATAATATGCTCAAGGCCTTCTGGAAAAAAAAGGGGGGGAAATGGGCCCTTTAGAACTTTCAGGAAGTTGTTAATATGGAAATGCCTTAGGACTTCCATAGACCCCAGTCCAGTTAATCAAAAAGCAGGAAAGTATTTCCAATGAGAATTAAGCTTTATGAAATTCTACAGATGCAGATTTATAATTAATATAAAGCATATTGTTTACTTATTCTTGCTTCTTTATTTGGACAGTTTTTAAAAATCAAATATGAGTACCTGGAATTCATTATTCATATCATAAACAGATTTGTAAGTAAGTGGCACAGTCAGAAAAATCCAACATTAAACAATCACTGTACAAGGAAACAATAATCTCCTTTTCCTGCGACATAATTAAGCATACAGAATTATTTATAAGTTATAGTTTGCTCTTTATTTACTGTATTGAAATAAGATATCATTTGGGAACCATAGAACACTTTGCATTTTGTAAATTGATAAAAATAAAAAATTATGTCATAGTAATGATACCACTCAACCCTCTAAGCCAGGGGTGTCAAACTCGCAATATCACATGACGTGTTGCGATGTATCGCGACTTTTTCCCCATTGCCGGACCTGAGGTGAGCGCAGTTTCGGCATGATGCATCCGGCCCATGGACCGGCACTTTAACACCCCTCCTCTAGGCAATAGGCCAGTTTATTGCATCTTGAAACCAACTTATGAAAACTAATCAAGGAGGCAGCAACAAAGAACTAAGAAGAAATTTCCTGACAGAACAATTAATCAGTGGAACAATTTGGCTCCAGAAGTTGTGAATACTCCAACACTGGATTTTTTTTTTTTTAAAAAAAAAAAGATTGGACAACCATTTGTCTGAAATGATATAGGTTTTCTGCCAAAGCAGGGGGTTGGACTAGAAGATCTCCAAGGTCCCTTCAAACTCTGTTATTCTATTCTATTCTTATGGATTGCCTCTCAGGTTCAGAAAAATAAATGTATAAATAGTTAATTTGTACTGAGAAACAGATGCATACAATGTCCCCCGAACTTATTTGGATATCAGAAATCCCAAAGGAAAGAGATTTGGAATTTATGATACAATCACTGTTTAATAAAGGAAAGAGAAAGCTGTTTTCCCTGCATGTCACAAGATATGAACTCATGCACATCTTAACCAATTACTGTCTGAAGTTTAGAATTGAAACAAATGGAGCAGGATAATTCTAAGGTAGCACAGGTATCACATTCAATTACTTGACTTGTATCTTGTATAAAATGTTCTCCTCTTTTCATCAGCTCCATCTCAATTAATACTGCACACCACAGATTCTCCACTGAAGCACAAAACTGAACAGTTGGCATCCAGCCTCTTAAATCTTTCTTGCAGAGCCACCAGAGAACTCAATGTCTTGCCATCTGCTCACAAAAATTATCTGTAGCCCTAAAAACAAAAACTCCGCCTTCTTGGCAAAGAGACAAGAGCAGTAGGTTTTGCAGGGATGGAAGCTCTTTTCCAAATGTTGAGTTTCCACTAAAATAAAGTTTTCCAGAGAAGATCTGTTTCAAAACAGAGTCTCCAGAAATAAAAACAAAGAAGGAATTGGAGTACCTTGTCACTTATCACAAAATACTACATTTTGTTGAGCTGAGACCCAGCACTAAACGTTCCTCCCTTCTCCATGAAGCAGAATTCTTCTCTTTCTTAGGCTAGGGCCCAGGCTTAATTGCTAGATTGTAGCCATTTTTTGCAGGCAAGGAGAGCAGATTTCAGTGCATACCATTTTAGAGGGTGTGTATCTAGAGAGAGCTGTCAGCCATGGAGAACCAAGATGGGACTCAGACTCTTCGGGCTCCAAAATGTTCACGTTGCCGGAATCATGGCTTTGTGGTACCAGTCAAGGGTCATGCTGGTCACTGCAGGTGGAAGCAGTGCCCATGTGAGAAATGTTCTCTCATCACTGAACGCCAGAAGATCATGGCTGCACAGAAGGCCTTAAAAAGACAAGGACCCGATTCACCACCTAGAGAGACCTTGCCTCCCACTCAGGGTAGGCCCAATGAAGAAGTGGCAGCCCTTGGTAGCAGTAAGAAGGGCCTAAAAATAAATTCTTCAGAGTTTCCCATTCCTGGGTCAGTTGTGCATGAAGGAATTAAAGTGACTTCAGCAGTTAGCTCCAGTACCAGAACAACAAATAATCCAACACCACCTAAACCGAGCTCTCCGACCTTCATAGATTTAGGTATGTGTACCAGCCATAATTTTTCAAATATTGATGATTAGTTATGTCTTTTCTGTTTAGGAACTTAACTTTCTACTTGTCCTAGGGCTAGGCCTTAGCGATGTATGTATCTTGCTATGCCAATTTGTTACTGGTGATGATTTGGATTATTATTTTTCTTTCCCCTATCAAAGGCTGTTATTCCTTAGCTGTTTATTTATTTATTGCAGCTTACATAGCCTGCTTGAAAGCTGCTCCACCATGCTTCATTGTTGCAAAACTAAATTTACACAGACAGAATCTGTACTGTATGAGTGAAATGAGTTCTGCAGGCCCAACAAAACACTGAACTGCCAATCAAGCAAATAGAAAAACAAAGAGTCTGGAATTAATATGATTTGTACTATATTTTACCAATATTCCTTTCAGCAAAGGGAATATTTCAGTGTTAATGAAAATAATTTGCTGGATTGGTTTTTTAAGAACAAAAGAGAATAGACAAACCTTTGACTGCTGCCATCTTTTGTAACAATTTATTTTTGCATTGAATTGATATTGTGCAAGTTGTATTTTGAAGACAGCTTAGAAATGCAGCATATTTAAATGAAGTACTCTAATTTGAATTTCTCTGCAAAATTCAAATTGCAGTGGTTAGTTATTTTTAAATAAAGCGGTGCTAATCATCTTAAATACAGCAAAAGTTTAGCAAATATATTTGTGGGGTCCTTGGTGCTTTGTGAGCTTGGTTGTTTTCTTGCAGAATTTTCTTGCACTGATAATAGTAGTTTATTTTGGTAATGAAACATCTGCAAGAAAACAACCAGGCTCAGATAGCACCAAAGATCCCTCATTTAAATCACGAGTTACAGATATTCTCCTCTAAAATAATAATGATAATAAACTGATAATAAACGTTGATAATAAACATTGACTTAAATCAATAGGTTCAAAATTGTTTATCAAAAGTAAACCTGAAACATTGCAAGATGCTATACATTCCCTAATTATTCAGAATTTTTATTACATTAAAAAATATCTTCTCCTCCATTCTGCTCCCTTAATTGGGACCCTGTTGTGCTCTATTTATGAATATGGGTTGCCATCTACTGGCTTGATATAACATTAAATACTATTAAGATACCTTGCAATTTATTTTTGTTGCTTGATTTGATACATTAAGTTTTCTACTTAAGAGAAAAAACAAAATTGTTTATTGTGGTTCATTCTAATGCAAAGAGTCACTGATTTATAGATTTTTTTTTCGTATTGAGAAAAACCAGCTTTTTGCTGTTATTGTTGCTTGCACTTCGTAATTATGATTTTTTTTGTTCCCCTTTTATTAACTCCTTTTCTTTGTTTTTGTATTTTACATTTTCATGAAATTTAATAAAGTTTTGATTAAAAAGAAGAAACCATGAATTAAATTTGTCCAAACTATATAAAACAGTAAATTACAGTACCACATTTTATGTTAATATATCTCTTATTCATAAATAAATAATATTTGATATAGTTTGTTTATTGCGTAATATGTTTCTATCCTCTGCTTCTCTGTGACTAACAAAGATCTCTATGCATTCTTCCAATTGATACATATCCAATGAGCAACAATTCTGCATTAGTAAGATGTTGACCATTTAAGATATCTTGATTGTAGGACCTTTACACCTCTCAGTGGAACAATTATGTTAAAAAAACACTTCTTGCATATAAGCTGTTCATTCATTCTTCAGTGTTCTCATGGATATTTACCTGGGAGGGCACCTAAAGTGTACCTTCTTGAAAGTTTTAATTAGCCAAAATGCAACACTTTCAGGATGTTAAAATACCATTCAGACCTTTATATGTTGCTGATACCAGCCAGTTTGGTCTAGTTGTTAAGACACCAAGCTAGAAAATAAGAGGCCATGAGTTCAAGTCCTAACTTTGCCATGAAAGCCAGCTGGTTGACTTTAGGCCATTTACTCACTCCCAATTCACCTCACTGGGAAAAATAAGAGAAGAAAGGTGTGTTGGATATGTCCCCCTCCTTTAGATATTTGTAAAAATGATAAAGGCAGAATACAAAAAATAAATAAATACTGGTAACCCATTTAAATCCAGCTACCATCCATTTAATCTAACTTTTTTTTTAATAGATCATCCAAATATGCCTCAAGAATGTATTACTGTGTGTCCAGAATTTGGGGAGAGGGACCCTCCCAAAATGTATCCTGGATACTCTGGGATGTATCCTTATCATCCATTTTCAATGGGATTCGCTATCAATCAACCAGCTTACAGAGGTCCATCTCCTGCACCTGTTTTGCCTCTGCAAACAAGTTTCAGACACTTTTCCGGCAACCATGGAGCAGGTAGTGTTCCTGCTACTATACCAGTAAGTATAGTTTTCTCCATATGGTTTAATACCCCTCACATAAGCACAACACCTAAAGATGTCTTTTACAGCTTGCTATTGGTGTAATAACTTTGAATCAGTGGCATATTTTGAATTTTGAATAACTTGATTGTACTGTGAAGGGCATAATCTTTCACAAAACACTGGAAACCAAACCAGTAAGATTACTACCCCTTTTCTATCTACTCTCCCATGATGACATTTTTTTTATCAGATAGCCACATATCCACATAAAGTAGCCCCTATAATTATTATTATTAATAATAATAATAATAATAATAAATAATACCATCAAACATCCACATCTGCCTATTCCAGGTCCTGGGTAAGGACTCGATAGGTAGACAAAATGCCAAATCCAGTCTGAACATCTGGCTGACTGTGCGATGATCGATAATAATAATAAAGTTGGAAGGGACCTTGGAGGTCATCTAGTCCAACCCCCTGCTAAGGCAGGAAACCCTATACCATTTCAGACAGTCCAACCCTATACCATTCTTCTTAAAAACTTCCAGTGTTGGCGCATTCACCGCTTCTGGAAGCAGGTTGTTCCACTGGTTAATTGTTCTAGCTGTCAGGAAGTTTCTCCTTAGTTCTAGGTTGCTTCTCTCCTTGATTAGTTTCCATCCGTTGCTGGCTGCTTGTATTTCAAAAATTGCACCTGAACTCAATTTTTGGCAATAAAATGGATGATAGAGCCTGGCACTATGCTTTTCAGCACGTACACTTTCCATTGTTTTTTTTTTTTTTTTAAATTAAAGAATGATATAAGATGCCTGAAGAAAGATTGCCACCCAAGGCTACCATACTGGGAACCCACTAAGTTTGGATATTATGCAGACAAAATTGATGAATTATGAATAGCTGCTAGGGTTGTACAATAATTTTACTTCTATTGAGTTTTAGTCTAGTTATGAATGTTAACAGAATTTCTGAGAAAATCTCAGATGTTCTACTTTTAGAATTGTCCATTTAAATTGGCTGTACATTGGATCATCCACATGGTTCAATAGAACATTGACTTGGATGCACATTTGGTGATTTACTTCATTATAATCTCTCATTTAGGGCCCACCTAGCTGATGCAACTGTTAATATCTCTAATGGTAATTATGACTGGGGAATTAATAAAAGTATGAGGAAGGAATGTGAAAATAGATGGTTCTGTAATGTCTGAATCAGAAATAGTGCTTCTCATATACTGAATCCGCAACATATCTACAAGATGAATTTTTTCCCCTGTGTTCCTTCCTGGTACTTAACTACAGAAATGTAAGCAAGGAGCATAGCAGCTAATAGTACTAGCCCAAACTATGAAGGCAAAACCAGTTTGTCTCCCCTATGTGTGTCAGAAAAAAATATTTTTGAAAAAATAGCTATATTTTTTGAACATTTGGAATGGGTTAATAACAACAGGTGAATAAAAAATGGCAAAAATACATGTTAAATCTTCTCTCCCAAATCTATTTGAAAAACATAGTGTTGAAGTGTTATTTAGTTCTCTTAAATATGGATTGTTAACTATCCAATGCCACGGCTAATGTAACTGCTGCTGTTGGACCTTAATATCATTTATTTACCATTTGGTACAGGGATTTGGATTTCTGTTAAATGGTTCCAGTCTTTTCCAGTTGTGCCTATCCAAGACCTGAGTTGAAGGATGTAAATGTAAAACTTGAAAATGTTCTTGATTTCCTTTCCAATGATAAAATTAAGCCTAATAAAATTATGTATGATAAATAAAGTTAGGTTTCTGTCACACTGACTTCTATTTTAATTGCTTTCTGGAAGCAGCTGAAAACTAATCTCTTCTGAAGGCATGTGATACCACCATGACGGTTTTATGTGTGTGTGTGTTTTGTGTATGGGTGTGTGCAGTATATTTCAATGTTTAATCTTATTGTGGTTGTTTTAATTGTAATTTTGTAGTTTGTCAGAAAGATTCCTTTGGGAGATCATATCAGGATATAAGGAAGATAGATGAGAGAGAGAGAGAGAAAGAGAATTTGCCCTAATATTACAATCACTTAGGATATTTTCTTTTATTTATTTGATTCATTCTTGCAAAAATCTCTTTCCAGAAACTTCATATTTTCCTGTGGCTCTTTTGTTCTTGAAACCGACCAGACAACCCCTTGTTTATAATTCCTAGAAATCTAGATAATAGATAGATAGATAGATAGACAGATAGATAGATAGACAGACAGATAGACAGACAGACAGACAGACAGACAGACAGACAGACAGACAGACAGACAGATAGATAGATAGATAGATAGATAGATAGATTAGAGCAGTGGTGGCAAACCTATGGCATGGGTGCCAGAGGCAGTACTCAGAGTCCTCTCTGTGGGTACACACGCTGTCACTGGGTTTTATAAAACCTTTTCCCTTTAGGCCTCCGCTGCCATATACAAAAAAAAAAAAGGTTCAATCAATCAGTCAATTTCAACTTCTCGCAGGAAAAAAAAGATCTTGCAAAGTTGGAATTGATTGATTGAACTTTTTAGTCCCACCCAGTCTGCTGTTACCATCGCAGCCACGCCCACCCAATGGGCCACATCCACCCAATAGACCACACCCACTCGGCACCCGATGATGCATAAGTGGGTTTTGGGTTGCAGTTTGGGCACTCGGTCTCTAAAAAGTTCGCCATCACTAGATTAGAGAGAAAGATTTCATAGGATCATGAAATATGTTTTGGCCTAAGTTTCACTGACTTTATAGCCACCTTCTGCATAGGTCAGTTCATCCCCTGTTCATAGACCTTTGTTTTTATATAGCTACAGGACACAGGTGGGGATTTCCGGCCAGGATACTATACTCCACTCTCACCCTTTATACCCCGAGGCTTTCTGCCAAGGATTCACTACCTTCCACCACCTCTCCAGCTCAACCTCGTGACTGAAGCTACGAAGGAAACATCTAGTGAGTAATCAGAATATTTGGTTGTGCAACTGTTACACTGATATTTACAATACACCTACAGTTAACCGTCACTTAACCATTCGAAATTACAACGGTCCCAGAACAGGTGCTTTATAGCCCATAAAACATTTCTGGTCTTTGTAAAATGTCATGCCATCCCTGCTCCTCAGTCACTTGACCATGTTATAATAATAATAATAATAATAATAATAATAATAATAATAATAAAGTTGGAAGGGACCTTGGAGGTCATCTAGTCCAACCCCCTGCTCAGGCAGGAAACCCTATACCAGGGCTTTTCAACCTTTTCACCCATAGTACCACTTTTAGGATATGGCAATATCCGAGTACCACCAGTCGCCTAGCAAGGTGTCAAAAACTTGATAACCAAAAAAAAAGGAAAAAAGTGATGAAGTACAGGTAGTCCTTGATTTAGAAGGGTTTGCTTAGTGACTGTTCGAAGTTACAATGGCACTGAAAAAAGTGCCTCCCAAGCCACAGTCGAGCAAGACATCTGCCTGCCCACCTGGCCGCGTTCTTCCTCCTGTCCAAGGTTTTCATTGTTGTGAGCATTTCTGTTAAGGATTGACAGTCGGGGGGGGGGTGTTTGGTTTTTATTCCCCTCCATCTGCTGGGTGGTTGCAGCAGATTTTAGTCACTTCACATGACCCTGGAATACTGTGACCGTCATAAATATGAATCAGTTGCCAAGCATCTGAATGTAAATCACAAGACCCTGGAGATGCTGCAACATTCCAGCTGATCAGTGCTTCTTCTGGGCTCAGCAGAAGCGCCAGGATCAGCGCCGAGCTCCAGCTGAAGCCTGACGCTGATCCTGGTGCTTCCACTGAATCCTGACAGTCCCAAAGAAGCATTGGCACTTCCGCTGAGCCCTAACAGCCTTGCAGCTCTAGCCATCTCTCGCTCAGGCTTGTGCAGTGCTGCCATCAGTTCAGCTCATTCCCCTCCCCCACTACCACTTTTCTAGGATGGTCACGTACCACCTGCCAGGTGCCAATGTACCACAGGTGGTACCCGTACCACTGGTTGAAAAGCCTTGCCCTATACCAGTGGTTCTCAACGTTTTTAATGCCGCAACCCCCAACCGATCGTATGTCAAGGACTAACCAACTGGTCGTAAGTCGAGGAGTACCCAACCAGTCGTAAGTCGAGGACTTTCCCTGCCCGGGAGCGCCGCACATGCATGGTGCCGCCCCCTGCACCGGCCGAGGCATAGCTGGCAAGCGGCAGAGACGGAGCAGGCCAACCACCGGCTAGGCCACCAGCTGGCCCAGCCCAAGGGAGGTAAGGCACCCATCGGAAAAGGGGAAAAAAATGGCAGACAGCCTTGCTTGGCGACCCCTGTGAAATGGTCGATCGACCCCAAATGGGGTCGTGACCCATAGGTTGAGAACCGCTGCTCTATACCATTTCAGACAGTCCAACCCTATACCATTCTTCTTAAAAACTTCCAGTGTTGGAGCATTCAGCGCTTCTGGAGGCAGGTTGTTCCACTGGTTAATTGTTCTAACTGTCAGGAAGTTTCTCCTTAGTTCTAGGTTGTTTCAGGTGCTTGTTGACTGTCTCACCTTTACGACTGATGTCCTATCATCACATGACAAAAAAAATCAGAAAATGGGTTCACACTTATAATTGCAGCAATTGCTTAACAACTGTGGATTCGTTTAACCACCACAGTGATTTGCTAGATACATGTGTTTACATAAGTCTAACGCAGCTAGGTATTACCAAGAGGATCATAATGTTTCAGAATGTTTATATTGCATAAATTAGTAAATTATTTTCTATGTATATTCCTGAACTGTCTGCATAATTCCAGTAACAAATGCTTTTATGATCTCGGAAATCAACAATAAAGTTGTTGTTGTTGTTATTATTATTATTATTAGTATTAGTATTAGTATTAAGAACTACCTGTATTAGAAAAATAGTTCTGCCTTGAACAGCTGCAGATAGTCAAATGGCTCAAATGATCATTTTCAAACTAATGTTCTCAGTAATTGCCAATATCACTATACACGCTTTATATTTGTTTACTAGCCTATTAATATATTAAAGAAATAGGAAACAAATGTGTTCAAGGTGAAGTAATAAGTATTTTTGTAATGCTTATTGGAGAGATGGCTCTTCAAACTAAACTCTGTAAATAACAATTGTGTTGTGAATAAGAATATGTTTTGCTTTTGTTATTTAAATAATAGTCATTTAATGAAACAGAAGACTTCTGTTCTGCTTCTGTATTTTAGTTTCCACTGAAGACAGCCAGGATTCTGCAATTATATGTAAGCCCTGCCAAACATCTCAAGAAGATGCCACTGAAGATTGTTCTACATATTCTGAACAGTAAATCTTCACCATCTAAGCTGAAATATTGCCTTCAAGTGATGCTATAAATGTTATTTTGTGTTTTACTTTAATCTATGTTGCTGCTAATCCTAATTTATCGGTCAGATAAAGTTAGAATATATCACTTATTCAGTTCTAGTTGCATTATTGGTATTTCATGTTCATCTAATTTGTCCCATTAGAATTTGGTGTCTTGGTGCCAAACAGCAGGTTTAAAAAGATATCCCTGTATTGAAAATCATAACTGCAGTCCCCTCATTGTGTGTCAGATAATGAATGCTGGCAGAGTTCAGAAGTTATGTATATTGTGAGAAGTCAGATGTGCTCTCTAAATATCTATGACTCTACCATAGAATCCAAGCACTATTTAACATATTGTCCAGGCTATGCTTTGGAAGGAAACACACTAGTTAGCTTTAAGATTTTCGGCTTTTATTAGTTGATGCCAGCCTACAGTGTTAGTAGTTGTTTGCTATAGCAGCCTTTTTCAACCTAGTACTATCGCTATATATAAAAGTTGGAATTATGGAAGCATGGTGCAACTGGAGGGTATCAAGTAAGGAAACTCATAAAAAGTTTAATCTATCAATTCATCCATGCTAAACTGCTGTTAAATTAAAGGAACATGTAGTTCTTTTTCAGGTGCTGTATTTCAAGTTGATATAATCAGAGGTTAGAAACTTTTTAAAAAACTGGATTCTAATTGGGTACATTACATATATTTACATATATTCAGAAATCAGTTGGGAAAATATGTACTCCAAATACTGATAATTATGGGGAAGTCTGTCTGCTAAATTTCTGTACTAGTTAGAGTGGTACAAGCCTTAACGGATTTGAAGTCTAATGGCTCACCTGTTCTCATTAATTTGGGACAGCACAGCTAGGAAATATTTAATAGCCACAATTGACATTTGCAAATAGAAAAACAGGGAGAACAAAAAAATATTGCAGTGATTAGTTAGTGATTCTATATGCTAGTTTGAAGAAAAACAGCAATACGAAAAATCTGTTTTTAGCTAATAACTTTGTATTAATGGTATTTCCAGTTTTAGTTCCATTACTTGTTGTAAAAATATATTATCCAGCTTTGTATACGTTACAATAAAACATTTTCAAGTGGTGGCACATTCTTATATATATATATATATTCTCTACAAATTCAAAATTACATTTTGAAACGTGTTAGGCATGTACTGTTATTAGAAGATAATTGCTACAAGTTGAGGAAGAAATGAAAAATTCAAAGTAATATCACGTTGCCTCCAAATTGGTTTAGCTAGTGGAAATTTGAAAAGTGACTCTTGCTTGTCTTCCCTTTTGAGAGCTATAGTAGGCATTAACAAAAAGTTACCCTTTCAACATTTTTTTTTAGGAATGTTCATCAGAATGCTCAGCTTTAGAGTGTTGGGCAGAGGGTTAGCTACAACATGAAAACGGGATGCTTTTCAAGGGCCTTAATCAAGTGCAAGGGGTCCAGTTGAAGCATCCAAGCAAACAGACGGTCGAAAACTGATTTTAAAGGTTCCGAGCTTGGACTAGTTGGCGTCTATACCAGCGATTTTCAAATTTCACAACTTTAAGATGTGTGGATTTCTAGACTTCTAGAATTCCAGTTGGCAATTCTGGGAGTTAAAGTCCATTTATTTTACAGTCGCCAAATTTGAAAAACTCTGGCCTAACGCCTTTTACTGGAAAGCAAGAACAACTCCAGGCATAACCAAGGGGTCCTTGATGCTCTCTGAGCTTGGTTGTTTTCTTGCAGATGTTTCCAGTGGTGGGATTCACCCAGTTTGCACCAGTTCGGCAGAACCGGTAGCTAATTTTTTGTTGCCCAGGCCCAGAATGGACTTCCAGAAGCGGCATCCATATAGAGAACCAGTTGTTCACATATTTGAATCCCACCACTGGATGTTTCATTACCAAACCAGGTAACATCATCAGTGCTGATGTATAGAACTGATGATGTTACCTAGTTTGGGTAATGAAATTTAGTCAGCCATTCACCTTGATGTCACATTAAAGTTACACCTTAAATTAAAAAAGACATAAAAAAGAGCATAAAAATGTGTTCCAATAGACTGAAAGTCTAGTCAGTAGGAAACCCTCAAGCAAGACATGACAGCAATACATGAATGCATGAGGTAATAACATTGTCACTGTAAAGAGTTCCCATTATATTTTAATTGTTTCAAATGCCTGCAAAATTTATCAGAAGTGACAGTGAAATGAGTGAGCATAGCATGAGCAGTATATCTTCAAGACTTCCTTCAACTTCTTGAGACTTTTCAGATCTGAGAAGTAAGATGATTGAATTCAATAGGAATACTTCCAAGTAAACTTGAATAGGGTCCCCACCCAACCCCAGTAGTGAAATCCTACTGTCTGTTTCTAATTAAAATCAAATAAATGTGAGCAAGGTTGTTATATCATTGAAAGTGTAATGGACAGTCAATATTAGAGAGTTACATCAGCAATAGTTTTCATGAAGCCCAGTCCACAGGAACTGACATTTAGTTGAGGAGTAATTGATATTTCTTCCATTATTTTATTTATTTATTTATTTATTATTTATTTATTTATGAAACTTATATACCGCTTTAAGTGCAAGCACTCTCTAAGCGGTGTACACCAGTAAGCAATGCATATATATATTTTACATTGCCCCCAACAATCTGGGTCCTCATTTTACCTACCCCGGAAGGATGGAAGGCTGAGTCAACCTTGAGCCGGTGAGATTTGACCGCTGACCTGCTGAACACAGTCAGCTAAAGTGGCCTGCAGTACTGCACTCTAACTGCTGCGCCACCTCGGCTCTTAATAAAGAGTTTCAGCTGCGTACTGGTAGAAATCAATACCAGTGAGGAATGATCCTAAAAATAAATAAAGCTACAGTGTACTGTAAAATGCTAAGTGGGAAAAGTCTCGTTTTCTAAACTGTCATTCAACAAAGCTACCAAATAGAAAATACCACTTTGTTGGAATCTATAGTCAATTTTTTTTTTTTTTTACAGCAGAGCAAAAATAATGAGCATTAATCTCAGGTTGACTTTAATCACTATTCATGTGCCCAGTCTGGAGAGCCAGCTTAACATTTCTAAGTAGAGAATAACTTTGCCTTTATGACTTTCATAAGTCTAAAGCTGAGGAAAGCTGAAGTAAAATGGTAAAATTGGAATGTTTCATTAGCAATGGCTTCATTTAATGACAAAGTTGCTGGTCCCAATTGTGGTTGGTAAACAAAGACTACCTGTACTCAGTTTTTTTTAACTCTACATGAATTTCTAGTTTCAGAGGCAAAATTGAATACTCAGGTTTAGGAGAACAACTGACAATATGGAGTAACATATTTTCGTTTAAAAGTGGCATTTTGTTTATTTTAGCCTCTATTCACTGTTCAACCATGAAGATGTAATTGGTCTTTATGAAGCATTGCTTTTTTTTTTTTTAGCAAGTAATTATTCGTTTAAGAAAATGGTTCATACTTTTGTTAGGATAGATCAATTCTGTCTAAGATTTTCCTTGTCCTAGATTTCCACTGAGTTATTCCATGAGAGAGATCTTTGTAAGTCGTAACATCTAAATGACAGCTAAAGCAACTAAACCATAGTGTAATATTTCAATGCCACACAATTCATACAATGATGCTCTGCACAATTGTAGCACAGCAAAGGAAAAAGCAAGCTTTGCAGATGCATGTACAGAATAAGGGCAAAATAATCTTTAACTCTCAGAAAGCTGATTCTGAATTGGCAAAAACTGCTGTGGCTTTGCCATTTACTGGATTGATCTTGCATTTAAATCCCTAGTTCTGTATTATGAAACTAAATTATGAGTGTACTGCCTTCTGAGGTAGCTCTTACATTGAATAAACTGATGAAGGGAGGAAAACACTGTTTCCTTTCTTCGATAACATTGATTTCACATATCAGTACTTCTCTCCATGAACCTTCCAAGTTTATTTTTTTAAACAAGTTGGCTTCTTTTAAGAAGGCTTGGATTCCAAACCAAATTAAAGCATCCATTGAAGCAGGTCTAAACTGCATGCTGGGTTGACTGCATTTGTTATGTCTAGCCGCAAATACAGTTTTCTCTAGATATTTAATCTGTAAGGGAACACTCCTACTCTTTTGTTTTTATTGCAAACATGCAATTAATCATCCTAATTGCTCAGGTATCAGAAGCCCAGGATATTATAGCAAAGTAAAATATATGACATTCGGAATACCCCAAGGTTTTTAAACATTCATTCTGGTAATGTAAAACTTGTTTAAATAAGAAAAAAAATGCTCTTGGAAGAAAAAAAAACTAATAATATTTTGTATCATTGCTTTTAAAATCTAACCTCTTATTTACAAAGTTTGAGATATGAAAATCTATGGAATAATGTATGCTTTTTATGACTATCAGAATGTTATATTATCACATTATAATAGTATTCTGATATTATTATAGATCCTTGTGTTTATTTTAAATCTGTCACAGTATTTGCAATTTTATCAAAATAATTCATGACTTTTGTGGCCTTGGATGTAATCCTGAATCAGATTGGGAATGTTGAATGGTATCAAATATACTGGCAAGATAAGAGTCCATTTATTATTGGACTGTCACTCTTGTATTCTTCTCTACTGAGGCTCTGCTAGAACTAGTGTATAAATACATCCACCATTTAAACCAGCCAGCCCTTTGCTCCTAACTATTGTGTCAGGATACATTTCCACTGATCAAATTAACTGCCATTCTGGGGAATTAAGTCCTCATCCACTAATTCCAGTTCAACTTAATGAACTAGAGATGAGCAAAATGCAGTAATTTAGGTATGAAATATCTATTCTCCCTCCAAACCATTCAGAATCACCTTCATTCTGGTAGCAGGGGCAGTTTCTAGAAGTAAATTCTCAGGAATTAGAGGAAATCTCTGGAAATAAAGTTTGAAGTGTCCTGAAGAGAATAGATTCCTGGGGTCATGTAACACTGTCTAGTAAGGGATTGACCCAGAGTGTTCTGATGTTAGTTTTTTTGCTCACCCTGAACAGAGGAAAATTCTGAGTTTGCACTACATACAAAACCTGGAAATGACTCTTTGAACAAGCTGTGGAAAACAGCTTAGTTACAATATTTGTATGCATAATCTGTATAGAGTTCTTAAGCAGGAAGACAAAATATTTGCAGAAACTCTTGTACTGCACACTTCTCAAAGGTAGTGTTCCCACAGTCAGGTCTCCTCCTGTTTGGATTATACATACTGTCATCATGGGCAAAAGACATACTGGCTGGAAGTGACAGCAATGCTAAGCTCACAATTGGGATATCATATATGCCTCCCCAATGAAACAATGGAGAGAATGCAGAAAATAAAGAATATAATTACAAAAAAAAAGAGTGACTTTACTGAACTTGCTCAATTCAGGGGAACAAGCTAAGCTTTCAGTTTCTCCAAAACTCTTCATCATGCCATCTTTGCACACTATTTTGGGGTCCTGAGGTAAATTGACTTAAGCTTTCTTTTAAAATTAAAGTTAAAAACTAGAGCTCCCTCTTGTGATAAGACAGAATTGCAGTTCTAATATAAAATCCATCAGCGGTTTAGTTTTAGATGCTATTGTCAGCAGGTCTCTGATTCATTTTATTAATTTTTATTTATTCATTTTGTATGCCGCTCATCTTCCCTGCAAGGTGACGCTGGGTGGCTATTCAAACTAAATAAACCGAACTAACTTCAGTGGGACTTCTGATCACAGCTATGTAAAGACAACCACACAGCTGGTAATTTGCCTGGGCTGGGTGATTTTTCTGAATACATTTTTGTAGATTATAAATTATAGAATTTGAAACTGCTGTGTTCCTTGAGCAATTATACAACATAATTCTGAGCATTAATTTTTTGTAGTATTTTACAGAAACAACCGCTGAATTTTGTTTGGGTGAAGTTCCAATGTGGTGCATACTACTTTATAATGAGCATAAATCACATAGGATAATTTAATAAGTATTATACTGGAATTCAATGGTGATAGGCACTCAGTAAATAGAAAACACAGTTATATGCATAAACTTTATTTTTGTTCTGTTATTTTTTAGTTTAAAAATAATATGGACTTACAATACTCCACAAT